ACCCATAGTTAGGGCCGTTATCTAACCGAGCTTAAGGTGTTCGAGCTCGAGTTCGACTAATTTTCGAACATGTTCGTGTTCGTTCGTTTAGTAAACAAACAAAAAATTTTGTTCGTGTTCGTTCGTTTATTGGTTTGACACAGTCGTGTTCGTTCGTTTATCTAGTCGAACTTGTTCTTGAATTGTTCAAATTGTTAGACAAGTTCGTGTTCGAATTGTTCGACATGTTCGTGTTCGTGTTTTTTAACTTTTTTTTTTTTTAATGTCATACAAGTTATTTTATTTACTATTTAATATATATTCATATTTATATATTATATGATATATGTATATACTATATATAACATATAAAATTATAAAATATTTTTATTTTAATTAATATTTAATATATATTCACATTTATATATTATATTATACATGTATTTACTATATATATAATATATGAAATTATAATTTTTTTTTTTTCGCGAACGCTCAATTAGTTCGCGAACTTGTTCGTGTTCATTCGATAACTAAACGAACATAATTTCATGTTCGAGTTCGGTTCGAGTGCTGAACGAACGAGCTATTATCGAACACGAACGAGCTTTGTTCGCGAACAGCTCGGTTCGATAACAGCCCTACCCATAGTTAATCTTGGGAACTTCTTTGTTTATTTTTTTACTTCCAGTATGATGGTTTTTTACTTTCAGGTGTTCCATTTTCTAAGCCACTGTACACCTTAAGTTATATGTTCATTACAGCAGGAGCATCCGGTTTTCTTTTGACTGCTATATATTTTATGGTGAGCTTAGTCTGTAAATAGTAAATAATTTCTTTTATCTGGTGGATCCTTTAAATTAATCATAGGCCACATTTTTTCCAATTGACATTTTTTCTGTCATACAGGTTGATATCAAATGCATTAAAAAGCCGACCATGATATTTAAGTGGATGGGAATGAATGCACTTATCGTGTATGCTTTGGCTGCTTGCGACCTATTCCCAGCGGCTCTCCAAGGTTTTTACTGGCGTTCACCGGAAAACAACCTGGTAATTTTCTTAAAACTCCGTAACATATTTGTTTATATTTGAACTCGTGGGTAATTGAGTCGTGGAGCGGAAAACTGGAGCTCGAAATGTGTTATACACATTATATAAGATCTGCATTTTTAGATGGCCAAGTATATGATATGGATCTGAAAGCGGTCTATGATATCATTTACAGTAGAGGATTGTGGCAAAAACACGACATTGAATCACAAATACAACAAAACAAACACTACCATATGATTTCTATTCTTGAAAACTATTTACATACTGATAGTGAAATGGATTTCACCCGGACTCTTAAAGTCGGGGGAGGGGGGGTGGGTTCCGGCGTCAGCCTCTGATGCCTAAGTCAACACTCGCTCCAAATCAAGAGTGCGAAATGAGAGTATAGTCAGAGAGAATGAGGTTTTGGAATACCTTAGCCCCTTCTATGCGGGGGGGGAGTGTACTTAGTGCCCAAGTTGGACTTGACTCATACCATTATGAATGTGTCCTAGCACATATGTGGACTTATTCTCTAATATATTCCTTCTTATCGATTAAAGCCGGTCTAGTACAATATCCTATATCATATATTATGATTAATTAGCAGCAATTTTGGTTTGTGAAATTTCACTTTGCTAACTGTAGAAACCACGTTGACCTGTGTAGGTTGACTGGTTTGAAAGGTCATTACAATTACTGTTCCAGTCGAACAAGTGGGGCACACTTGTATTTGTTATGGTAGAGATCTTATTTTGGGGTGTTGTGGCTGGATTTCTTCACATGAAGCGTATCTACATAAAATTATAAGGCTTTCCATTTTGTATATTGTTGTATTTATTTTTGCTTACGTACTTGTATGTATGTGGTGTATATATTTATGATGTATATTTTGATTTTGATTATTTTTTTAGTTAACTATTGTTAATTTTAAAAAAGTTAGATTGAGTTAGATTTGAGTGAGATTTTGAATTTATTTAAAATAAAATAATTAAGGTTTGGTTGGGTGTAAAAGTAGTAGAGAACTGATTGTGATTGATAAATAGCTGATGTGAGTGGATGAATAATAAAATTAAAATTGATGTGATATATAAGTATGATTGATTAATATTGTTTAATTATATTAATAATATTGAAGATATTGAAATTGACTGTTACATTATATTTTGATTTAAAAAAAAGTGAGTTGTGGAAAGTGACTAGTTTTTTATTTGAGTTTTTTATATCCAAGGTGTCTAATTGTGACTTATCTTGTCCCATACTGAATTCAAATAGTTATGGTCATATTTTTTAATATATATTTGTATATATTTAAACTAAAATACCATATTTCGAAATTTATAAAGATAAACTTATGATATTTTATCAAATAAGTGTAATTTGTTTATTAAAAAATATCTGATCGGTCATGGTCTAAGAATTAGGCTTCTTTATGCAAGAATCAAAATATTGAGCATGGTGAAAAGCGTAATTAGTTGTGGGCAAAAAAGTGAGACAGATCGATATAATCGAGGTTGGTAAAGGCGTGATGAGTCAAAAACATTTGTGGACAAACTTTTAATATAACGTTAAATTATTATGTGAAAGAAGTGGAAAACAATTAAACAGGTGCCATCGAGTACACAACCACCCAGGCAAGAATCTAATAAAAACAGGCCGAATAAATTATTTAGGGCATGCTTGTTTATAGATTTTTTCAATCCAATTTTTTCAACTCAAATATTTAACTCAACTTTAACTCAACTCTACTATCTTTAATATTATTCATACAATTAAATAATAAAAACCAATCATTCTTACACATCACATCAACTTTAATTCACTATTCATCCACTCACATAATTTTAACTACCAATCATTTCCAATCATTTATCTCCTACTTTATATCAAATCAACTTTAATCATTTTTATTTTAAATATTATTTTAATATATTTTTTAAATTCCACTAACAATTAACCACATTACTTTTTCAACTTTAACTATAGTTAACAAAATGAAATATGTTGATTGAAAAAATCATAAACAAACGTCCCCTTAAATTTTGAAAAGCTCGGGAATCACAGTTATGTGCTCTGGGCCCAGTAATCAGGTGATTTGTTTTGCAGTCTTTTGGCCATATCTACACATGGTAAAAGTATTAATTTTCCATATTTGCTTATCACTATAATTGCAATTAATCACAGAATTTTAAAAGTTATATTGCTTTTATTAAGATTACATGAATTTGTGTATGAGGTGGTTTAACTTTAGGCAGTGAATCCATCAAAGTTTTCTAACAAAAATTCTATGGAGCAATCGGCTTGTTTTCTTATGGAGTCATCCATCACGTAATGTATTGACACATGTTCAAATTACATTTATTGTAGAACACGAGTCAATACACTATTGGTGAATAAGCGTGGATTATTCCATAAGTTGTGTGGTCCGATGGCTCCATAGCAAAACCGTAAAAATAAACGTATATTGTTTAATAAAAACGTATTCCAACATTATGAAATAATGTATTTTTGTTTAAATTTAATCTGATATTTTATTTCAAATATATGAATGAATATTTATTAAGAAAGTATCACATAACAGCCTCACTACTCGTAAGTCATAACATAGTTGTTTCATTTGAATTCGTTTACGATATTACAAATGTGATGATAAAAATATTATTTTCCTTTTCAATTCACCCACATAACTTAAAATTGGATTTTTTTTTTATATCCTCCACTTTTACATACATAATAATAATCCCTAAAATCCTCGCTAAGCCAAAATTGACCTCAAATCGGACTCTTTTTAAGGAATATTTATTTCTGGCTTTAGAGCCCTAAATAATCAAAACTCTCCCTTTCTCCCTCTTTATCCGGTATTGGTGCGATAATATGAACGGCGGCAGCGGCCGACCGAGCTTCCAGGCCTGCGGCGGAGAAAGGAGGATGGATATAGTCAGCGGAAGAGGCCACTACAACAATGAAAACAACGGCAGCCTGACGTACGCGACGAGCCGCCCTTGGACGCCCGATCCGCCGCCGTTCCGGCTGGAATCGGCTCCTCCGGCAGCGGCGAAGCCTTGGGGATTCGGCGACCCGAATATGAAGCGGCGGAAGAGGATAGCGAAGTACAAGGTGTACACGGTCGAAGGTAGGGTGAAGGCCTCCATTAGAAACGGGCTTCGTTGGATCAAAAACAAATGCTCCGAGATTATCCATGGCTATTAAGCTAATCAGTTTAGATTTTGAGTTTTAATGTTTGTTTTTTTCCCTTTTTATGCTGATATATGTGGTTTTCTTTATATTATTTGGTATTTTTATGATTTTTCCCAATTTTTGTTGGTTTGAGTTTGTTAATCCAAGGAAAAATGGTGGTTACAGTAATCCTGGTTTTCCTTTTTCACCATAAATAAATCCCATTCGTAGATGACATTACGTGACAAGTGCAGCTGAGTTATGAATTCAGAATATGGGGTTTTATGATTTTTTTTAGATACAGTTAGTCTTGTTAAGTCTCAAATTCAATTCGTTAGTATTGATAAACCTGTTTTAGCAGTCGATACAGTTAGTCTTGTTAAGTCTCAAATTCAATTCGTTAGTAATGATAAACGTGTTTTAGCGGTCGATAAAAGGTTCGAGCCCTAGCTCTAAAACTACCAGAGCTCGAATAAAAAAAAAAAAACTTGAGTTCGGTTTGTTTACAACTTACTACAACAAATTCTTTTGTGTTTAATTTTGTATGGATCACATCACAGACCAAACCAAATAAAAGCTCAATTTGGTCTAATTTTGTGTGGATCACATCACACACCATAAAGATCAATTGGGTTGCTTTCTTAGCACACAGACCAGAATTTTTGGAGCTCAATTGGGTCACTTTTCATATGTATATTCCTATGGGTCTCAAGAGTGGCCCAATGAAAATTTCTAACCTAATAAGACCATTAAGTGGAGGGGACAACTCCACATTAGAGGCCGAACAAAATTATGCTATAACAGGCCCAATAGTGTAATAATGATGCTTATTGGACGCTCAACTAAATGGCCCATTTCACTTCATACCCAGCAATATAATACCAAAAAAAAAAAAAAAAAAAAATTTGTACTTGATTTCTCCCAGCAGCTGATTTTCTTTTTCCGCATGAAAAAGAGATTGAGATTGAGATATATGGTGACATGAGTGACTGTAAAAAGTAAAATTACAAAGATAATGGGCCCAGATGGTAACGGCACAAGTTCTTCTTCTTCATCTCCATCGGCTATGGCGAGTGTTAAACGAGGCAGAGATCCAGAAGATGAAGTTTATGTCGATAATCTTCACTCTCACAAGCGCTATCTCAGCGAGGTTTTGTTTTTTATTTATTTTTTTTATTTATTAATTTGGGTGATTTGTTATGTATTTTTCAATAATTGTTGGGGCCTTGGAAATTGATGTGCTTGGCTCATGATCGGTGTAATTTAGATCCAATTCCGTCTGTGCGAAGCTACGATTTTTTTTCGGTAACTGTGGATTTTGTTAAGTCTGTCTGAATTTTGAGATGCTGTATGCATTTTATGAGCTAATAAAAGTGTCAATTGATGATTTTTTCAATGTTTTCCCCTTTCCCTGTTATCCACTGTGAAATTGCTGGTGAATATGGTTGTGTTTGGAATGGGAGTCTCTTGCTTGATAGGTTAATGCTTTGTTTTCATCTCATACGATTATTCTTGTTGTGTGTAGATTATGGCGTCGAGTCTGAATGGGCTGACGGTTGGAGAATCTTTGTCTGATAATCTTATGGATTCTCCGGGGAGGTCCGAGAGCATGATGTCTAGTCTCAGGTTCGTATTTGTTTTACGATGTTTTTGTAGGTTAGCTATATCTAGGAAAGTCTACGCAACGTGTCTCTATCGTAAGTATTTATATGCAAGTGTCTACTCGCGTATTTTTTGTCTTGGAAGTCGTCACGTGAGTAGCATTATCAAGGTTTGTGTAATGTGAGCATCGGTGTAGATTGCATCGATGAATTATCTAAATTAGAAAAAAATCACTTAGTACAAAAAGGCGAACAAATTGGCTTGCTTGTACATCTTTTGGGCTTTATGATTTGTAGTTTTTCCTCTCAGCATATTGGCTGACAAAATATTGTGAGAGCTCTAATGTATATTTGAACACAGAACGTTTTGTACACTTAAAAGCTACGACATGCGGCCTGTCGTTTTGCAAATGAGAAGTTGTTTTCAGATCTAAAAAAAGAGTTTGTGTTTACAAATCAAGGTGAATTTTGCAATAAAAATGAATTTCCATTGACGAATATTTTTGCAAAGCGGAAGGCTACGAGTTGATGTTACTTTGATAAACTTAATCAAGCTATTGCTACATAATGTTTGTGATGAACTTTAAATTCCACGTCGAATGAGAGATAAAAAGTGACCGAGACCAGTTAATTTCTATCGAGCTGTTGTAACTGTCGTAAAAGTGTATTACTTTCCCCTTTGTTTTTTTTTTTTTTTTTTCCCGA